ATATACCTAAGGATATATATATATACCTGAGACATTTTATATATATGTGTATATATACCTGAGACATTATGTATATACCTAAGGATATATATATACCTGAGACATTTTATATATATGTGTATATATACCTGAGACATTATGTATATACCTAAGAATATATACATATATATATATATATACCTGAGACATTTTGGGATCCCCAAATATAGATCTGAATCATTGTTTTAAAATAATTTTGGTGTTTACATAATCTATGCTTATTGTAAAAGTTTAAGCAATACAGATATATATATGGCAATATACATATATATAATTTATAGTTTAATGTATTTTAATAACAAACTTGCAGGAACATCACAGAAGACATGTCCCTGCCTGTAGGACAACTCAGAAGTACAGTGAATGGATGGAATCTACGGCAGGATAAAAAATGCTACAGGGACTCCGCGCCTGCGTAGAGCGCACCCCTCCCTTTCTGCCTCCACTGCCACCAGGGCTCCTGTGAAAAAACTTGTGGCAAAGGGGGCCAAAGAAAAGAAGCAAGTTCTGAAGTTCACTCCTGATTGCACCCACCCTGTAGAAGATGGAATCATGGATGCTGCTAATTTTGAGCAGTTTTTGCAAGAGAGAATCAAAGTGAATGGGAAATCCGGGAACCTCGGGGGAGGTGTGGTGACCATCGAGAGAAGCAAGAGCAAGATCACAGTCACCTCCAAGGTGCTATTCTCCAAAAGGTATTTGAAATATCTCACCAAAAAATATTTGAAGAAGAATCATCTACATGATCGGTTGCACGTAGTTGCTAAAGGCAAAGCGAGTTACGAATTACGTTACTTCCAAATTAACCAGGCTGAAGAGGAAGAAGATGAAGATTAAAATTCATTTATCTGAAATTTTTGGTACGAGTTCTTGAATAAAATTTTGGAACCAAAATAGTGGCTTACCCTTGTATCTCTGCAGTATGGATAGAACAGAAAATTGGAAATCATAATGAATAGGGCTTCCCTTGGGCGGCCACTTACTTACTTGTAACTTGATTTTTTTTTTTTTTTTCTGCTCAAAAATGTCAGTTCTCTTGAAGTGGCAATACCAAAATAGAAGAAGGCGCTTTAAGGGAACTGACCGGCATTGAGCAGGTACACGAGGTGTGGAGATGTGAGCGTCAGTGAGTCCCCGTTTCATCTCTAAAAGTGTGACGGGCAATTTTATCTGGTGCTTTTACAAAGAAAGATTCAGGAATACAAGTGCTCATTCATTAAAAGCAAACCAAGTAATTTATAAGATTCTCTTATGGGAAGAATGGCAGTGTCAATAAAATGCAGGTTTCTGGGGGAAAAATGCTACAAACACCATTTAGTTGCCATCAATAAGAAATTTACTTGTTTAAAGAATAATCCAAATGCTGGCATTGTCCAGAAAAATTTAACAGGTTTATTTATAATTGTTATAATGTTGAACGGCTGTAACTTGTTCACTGAAACATTTTGACTCACATTAATGCTGCATGTCCCGCATTTCGGTTAAAAATTCACACTCAAATGAAAATGGAAAAGCTGCCAACACCTCATTTCTGTCCCCTGATTTTCCAGTTGCAATCATATACTTAAGTGGCTTTTGACCCCATGGCGGAAAAACAATCTGACATTCAAAACTACCAATAAACAGGAAGAAGAGAAATTTTTTTTTTTATAATGAAATTTTTTTCCATCATAATGGACTCTTAAGCATGTTCTCCACGTATGCGGCATGCTAGCTGGATTTTACACGTTTGGCATGAATAGCACACAGGTTGGTGTCTTCAAAAAGGCCAACCAGATAGGCCTCACTTGCCTTTTGCAAAGCACCAATAGCTGTGCTCTGTTTTTTTTAACGTCTAGAAGTACAGATACCAAAACAATCTGGAAATTCCAACAGCAAAATTTATCAGCAACAATTCTCTCTTAAATGATGAAATTACCGATACTTATTTTTATTTCACTTCGCGCTTCTTTATAGTACTTTAATTTTTAACTATTGTTCATTATTCAAAGTTGTTGTTTTTTTTGTTTGTTTGTTTTTTTTTTGGCAGTTTTTGGCTGGGGCCGGTTTGAACCCACCACCTCTGGCATATGGGGCCAGGGCCCTAATCCCTTTGAGCCACAGGCACCACCGGATTCAAAGTTTTGTTTTGTTTTTTGTCGTTGTTGTTCTTGTTTTTGTTGTTGTTGTTTTTCTTTTCTTTTCTTTTCTTTGAGACAGCGTCTCACTCTCTCCCTGGACAGAGTGCTATGGCTTGATCGTTCACAGCAACCTACTTGAGAAGCTGAAGCAATCCTCTTGCCTCAGCCTCCCAAGTTCCTGGGACTATAGGTGCCCACCACAACATCCAGCTAATTTTTCTAATTTAATAGAGATGGGGTCTGGCTGTTGCTCAGGCTGGTCTCTAACTGCTGAACTCAAGCAATCCACCCACCTCAGCCTCCCACAGTGCTGGGATTACGGGCATGAGCCGCCATGCCCAACTCATTTAAAGTTTTTACAATCAAAAGTATTACTTATGTAATAAGAAAAATGCTAGTTTCATTGATGGAGTGGGGGAAGAAGAAAGAAAAATAATTTCTTAGAAAAGAAAACTGAAAGAAGCCCATGAAGAAAGTAACTATGGATTCAGAGTTGCTGGGAAAGCCAGAACACATATGTCAGAAATCGTTTCTGGAACTGCACACTTGAGGAAGCCGACTTCTGCCACGTATGGTCAAAAGACCAGAGAAAATGCGTGCAGGGGTTGGGCACATGTAAAGGTAGACAGTCAGCGGTTAAATGGCAGATCTCCAAAACCTGGGCAGCACAAGTCTGGATATTACAATGTGGAAGAAAGTCATAAGGCCAATATTTCTGTCTATAGTGGGAAGTGAAATTTTTTTTCTGATGGTTATAAAACTAGAAATTGTTCTCCTTCAAACAAAAAAATCCAAATTCATAAATTCCTTCTCATGGTTGCGGAGCACTCAGCATATAAGCAAACGAAGATGCAAAGCACAGCACTACCTGGTCGCAGAAGGAAACCAGGCCCAGGGTAACAAGGAGATAGTTTACAGAACCTGGATAGAATGACCCAGAACTGTGCCAATTATAGCAGGAAAAGAAAAGTGAAGTTCTAGACCACCTTCATGAAACTACATTCAATAAGATCTTGGTGCATTATGCAGGACAGGAGGAATTAGTATCCCTAATATACAAAGGATTCGAATAAATCAAAAGGAAAAGACTAAAACCCTTATAGAAAAATGGCAGAGCACATAGACAGGCAAAATGAAAATTGGTAACCCAAATGGCTAACATACTATATATAATATGTTAATATAATAAAATGAAAATTGGTAACCCAAATGGCTAACATACTATATATAATATGTTAATATAATAAAATGAAAATTGGTAACCCAAATGGCTAACATACTATATATAATATGTTAATATAATAAAATGAAATTGGTAACCCAAATGGCTAACATACATAATATGCTCAATATGTCTAGAACCAAAATGCAAATTTAAAATAATGTGATAGCAGTTTTTGCCTACAAGATAGGCAAAAATTTAAAATACTGAAAGTACCATGTTGGAGAAGGGAATACTCTCATTAACACCGTTGGGTGCATAAATTGGTACAAGTTTCTGGGAGGAAATGTGGCAGTGTGTGTCAAAATGCTACATCAACATTTCCTCTTGCTCATTCATTTTATTTCCAGTAACTTGTATGGTGATAATCAGACAGGCCAGGCACATCTTGATACTACACAACTCACACACATACATACATAGATGCAATATACCTATTCGTGGTTTGGTGAAACAAATTATGGTACGTTCCCCACAAAAGGAATAATGTGAAACCATTAAAAGTTAAAATATAGATCCATATTATTTGTGGCTATAGCACATTGACAAATAAAAGCGAGTAGCAAAAATCATGGGTACCACATTCTCATATATGTATGTGTTTGTGTCTGTGTCTCTGTGCACAGACTCATGTGCACAGACTCATGTGCACACACTCATGTGCACAGAAAAGAAAGTCTGGACAGATACCGGGCAAATATTAGCAACTGTTCTACTTGTGAGATGAAATTACAGGTGATTTTCAAGTTTGTGTTGTTTGATCTATTTTTATAATGCATATAGACATATTTCATTATCAAAGAATAATTCCCATTTTAAAAATGTAAAGCTTTAGAAATTTTAAACAAAGGAAAGATAGTTCCCTGTTATTTATTACAAAGGTCTTGATATGAAAATCTGCCATTTCAATTCTTTTTCACATGGTGCAAAAACCCCAGAAAATGAAAAGGATCAATGAATGACACAGAATGGTGAAATTCACTTCGGTGAGAGTAGTTCATATTTCCTTAACCACATGGCTAAGGATTTCACCATAACCTCATAAAAAGAGGTAATTGGGGTTAACCTCAAAAATCACACTGAATGTTTTTATGGTAGGTTACAAGGATATATTTGCCTACATTAATTTTTTCAGTATTTAAAATATAGAACCACTTCTGAAATGGTGCAAGAGGACTTCCAATATCTGCTTGACCATAAAAGCAATGAAAGCTCTAATAAAAAATTGTGAAAATAAACTGTGTCTGAGCTCTGAAAATTAACCAATGGTTTACAATAATCTGTGAAACATTTATTCAAGAAAAATGGCTGGATCTCAGTAATGACAGCAAGCTTTGTGGTGTTTTGCCTTGCCCTATCACATCCTCTCCTACCCAGCTCTGTGGCAACCTTGAAAACCAACAGCCTCATAATGAGCGCAGCCATAAAACCCAGCAAATTACCAGCCACTGAAGTGAGCAGAATGGGTTTGAACTTTCTCAAAGCTCTGTCCCCAGAGAATTGTCTCTGTTTGATCTATCTGGCAGTTTCCTAGAAATCCACACTCCCAAGGCTTCTGATAGTTAATTTTATGTGTCAGTGTGAATGGGTCATGGTGCCCAGATTATTCAGTCAAACATTCTTCTGGGTGTTTTTGTAAAGATACTTGTTTAATGAGATTAACATTGAAAGCACTGAACTTGGAGTAAAACAGACTACCCTCTAATGTGGTGGGACTCATCTAATCAGTTAAAGTTCTTAATAGAATAAAAACTGATGTCCCCCAAGCAATAAAGATTTCTGCAGATTGCCTTTGGACCCAGACTGGGTCTCTAACCCGCTGGCCTACTCTGCAGATTTGGCCTAGTACCACCACAATTGTGTGAGTCAGTTCTTTAGAAATAAATCTTCTCTGTCTCTCTCTCTCCTTGACCTCTCCCTCTGCTTTTCCCTCTCTCTGCCTATGCACAAAGAATAGTTCACATTAGCACACAGCAAAATGGTACTGTCTGCAAGCCAGGAAGAGAGTCCTCACCAAGAACTGAATCTGCCAGCATTCTGGTCTTAGACTTTCCAGCCTCCAGAACTGTGAGAAATAAATTTATGGTATTTTGTTACCATAGCCCAAGCTAGGTATCTATGTAAAATACCTATCACATACAAAATTTAACTTGAACTGACTCAAAGACTCAAGGACTCAAAACTACAAAATTCTTAGAAGAAAGCATAAGCATAAATCTTAATGATCTTAGATTAGGCAGTACTTTTTTAGGTATCACACAAAAAGCATCATCATAGTTTAAAACTTTTTTTTTTTTTTTTGGCCAGGACTGGGTTTGAACCTACCACCTCCAGTATATGGGTCCAGCACCCTACTCCTTTAAGCCACAGGTGCTGTCCCATAGTTTAAAACTTTTTTACTGCCAATAGTCCTATGTAAAAAGTTTAAAAACAACAAACAATGTGGGATAAAATGTTTTCAAATCAAATATCTGATAAGGGATTTATATTCATAA